TAGCAACAGGGTATCCCAAAATATGTGGTCAATATCTCGGATTCGAATCGAACAGAATAAATTTAGTTGCCATTAATTGGCATTATTGTGCTAAGGTTTCTCAATACAGTCAGTGAAAAAAACCTTTTAAAATCTTTATTTAGAAATTAAGTGAAAAATTTTGTGGTACAATTGAGCACTTTTATGATTAACTATGCAAATTGTGGAAAATGCAGCATGTTGAACCTTCAATTTGACCACTTTGAATGAAAATGTAATATAATAATAAAAGTAGATATCATTTTCTTATGTTGTATTTAAAAGTTCCACGGCGGTATTTAAAAATATAGTTTTAGTTCTTGTATGGTACAGGGTGTAAAATATGGCTTATATTTTGCTTAAGCTAATCAAATAAACCTAAAAAATAAATACGCCGAGAATGTTTAATTGGTTGGGTTCTGTGCATGTAAACTGCTTCGCTGATACTAATTTAAAAATTATATACCTGCCTAAATACTAATTGCTTTAAAAGTCATTAAAAAACTTCGTTCAAACTCTTATTTAAAGATCGTGTGATCATGTAACTTCACAGTAGGAAGTCACAGGAGACATTTCTCAAATTCTGCGTTTCTATCTGAATCTCAGAGACTGACCGCTTATTTTAGGACACCTTATAAATAGCAGTTATTAAAACTTGTGTTCATATCTATCTGGAAATCTGATTTCTTGAAATATGCGAGTTGGAAAATTAAAAATATTTAGTGTCCAGATTCATAAACTTTGAACGCCCGTACAGTGAAAAATAAGAGTCTGCTAATCAAAAACCCCGTTTCCTACGCGGTTTTATCGCTCTGAAGAAAGAAATATTTTTGACTCACCCTGTATTATTTAAATCTGATTTATTGATCAAGAAATCGTAATTAGGACGATCTTTTAGATCCACTAACGTTTAAAAATTAAAATACAATTAACACAATTATAGGGCGAGATTTATCAATTTGAATCTTTCCAAATCTGATTCTTCAAATGCGAATTGAATTGCTGATTAACCATGAATTAAATGGCTCATTAATAAAAAGATGTAAATACCTATTAATAATAAGTACCTACTTTAATAACCTAAGTAGAACATTTCTTAATTTACATAAAATGTAATGCAAATGTTGTTAGTCCGCTTTCATTTCAGAACTTCTGAACTGAATAAGATTCAAGTATTACTTTGAAATACATAACAAACACTATTTCAGCTGACAAAATTTGGWAGAGTTGGGAAATATTGGGAAATACATAATTTTTCCAAAGCKTCTCCTAAGGTTGAACTGAATTTCTAATAATTCTCAAGATTCACCCTAAAATGTAGGTATGTTATGACTAATCTTACGTGGACACGGATCTCAAACAAAAATCAATATTCGAAATTCCATATCTTTAGCACCATAAACTGCTGAGTCAAAAACAAAATTCCTATGCTAACGATCCGAAAATGTTAATGCCCAAAACAAAATCAACGAGAAAGAAATGTCCTTATTTTGAACAGTCAGGAATGCGGACCATCTTAAGCGAAAAAATCGGTTGTTTACAAAAACACATCCACGTAGTGCTAAGATGGGGAACTCCGAAGCTTCTATGCTCCAATGATTTATGAAGCAACAAGAATGGATTTACGGAGACGGTCAATTCCTATTAACATTTTTTCGCGATCTGGTGCTACATATAGTCTGTGTGATCTAACGTTTTCAGCGTGACTMTACATGTGTGATTCTTTCAATAGATTTMAAAGWTTTTTTTTGGGCAAACCCATTATCCWTACAGAAACTTCTTTCATAATAAACACTGATCYGAATKCATCAAAGTCTTATWTGCTCGWCYATCRAATCATCTTTGCGCCAAKGCTCGAGTAGGTTTTGTGTCGGTTTTAATGGGACATAATGTGGTTTTATGGACCTTCAGCAAGGMACCAATAACGATTGACTTCACGAAGTTCACGTCCAGTTAGRTGTGTWTAAATAAGTAGAGGTTACTGCTTAGTTGGACCAAATTTTAATAAGTAATTAATTCAAACGTTATGACTTCATTATTGTTTAATGAATATACAAACGTAAAACGGCTACAAAATACATACAAAGACAGACTTAAAAAATGCAACAAGTGCAGAAAGTGAAAAGTTTKAATCAATATAAACTCGCAAACTTCAGGGCTTCAGTTGTTGAAAACAGTTATTTTTATAAAATTGAGCGCCTGTCTACGGTCGTTAAATCCAATCGAGTTTCTTGCTCTATTTAAAATCTTTTCGTTTCTGGTGTTTTTATCTAAGAGCTTTCAAGCAATGATCAGTAGTTATTCAGGGATAAGTAGGAAACAATGCCGCTTTTCTGATGCACGTGAAAACAAACTGAATAATCATTCAATAACAGTAAAGAAAATACAACCAAAAGAGAAAACTGGAAACCTCAGAAGCTAAAAGAAAAATAAACTCCTGAATCCAAAAAGTTTTGAAAATACTTGTTTCTTGAATCTCCAACACCTGGCCACTCCCCTAATTGTTTGTTAGAAAAAAACCATCAAACGTTTTTTGGAGATGTTCCTTGATTGTAGATCTGCAGGTTTCTGTAGACGTATTCTTAGAAGGATCACTGCATGGATTAGCGAGTAAACTTTTCGGCCCAACTTAGGCAATTAAATGAGATGATCGCTTGCTCATTAAGCGTTTTCCGTTTTATAACCAGATTCGTCTTTATGATAGAATGGCTCATTTGATCATCTGAATCCAAAAAGTCCAGTTTCAACTTTTGATTTGAGATCTTTGACACGATTTACTCCTGTTCATCAACTGCACTAGATCAGGTTCTTCGTCTCGTCAGTCACTCAGAAGCATGAAGTCCCTTTAATCCCATTTATCCAAAGCTTTGCCTGAAATAAATTGATTCCATAACTTTTTCACCAAGCTTGAGGAGACTTGGTTACAAGATTTGGTTATCGCAAGCACAACATCTTTCAACTAAACATTTTTCAAACGTTGTTTTCATCGTAAAACTCCTGCAGACACACATTTTTTCAATCATATTCTGGTTCTTCGGCAGAATCAGAAACATTACTTAGATATTGCCATTATGGGTAAAGACTCTAGCTGACTGAAATTTCAGCCTTTTTTTCAAGGATTAATGTGCGGAACTTCTGTTTAGACGACATGCTTTTTATTAAAATATATAGCTGGTGTTAATTTGAAAACTTCCCACCCTTAACATATTTCTTGCAGTTTATAATATATAAAATCGGAAATATCTGTCAATTTTATTTGTAAGGGAAACACTTTAAATTAATATGTTTAGCCTCCTTGTTTCAACCCCCTTTCTTCTAAGGGTAGATGTTACCCTTCAATCTCTCAATCTTAAATGGGACGGGTCAAGTGGCACATCGTTTTAAAGGACGTTCAATTCTCTTTACATTAGTTACTTGTGTGTTGCTATTTGTTCAGAGGTTTTCGAATAATCGCGTTTCAAAATTACAGAAGCAATTAAACTTGTCTGTATTGAAATTTTGATTTTCAGATTAGTTTTTAAAGAAAAATTATGTGATTGGCTCTTCTTATAGTACAAATGATCAGAATATTCGGTTACACCGTTGAATAACAGGAAGAAAATCTACTTTAAATGATTGATTTCGGAATTATTGATTATTTCACTTCGAGAAAACTCACTTTTTCTTCACGAAAACATTTCTACATAAAACCCATGGGATCTACTTACGCACTATCTTATAAGTTGTTCAAAATTTTGTCTATTTTCGTGTAAACAATAATAAACTCTATTTTCGAACCCTCCCAAACATTGATAAGATATTCCCGGATAGACCGATTGGCAGAAGGTGACCCATTGAATGGCCTCCAAGATCACCGGATTGAACACCCTTAGGCTCCTTTCTTTGGGGACATCTTAAGTCCACTGTTTATAAAACAGAACCTTCTGATATTGGTGATCTTAAAAGGCGACTTGCAGCAGAATGCCGGTCAATTCCCTGTGAAGTTTTCCGAAATATTAGGGAGGAGTTCAAAAACAGACCTTATTATTGTTTACAGGAAAATTTACAACACTTGAACAACTTATAAGATAGTGCGTAAGTGCATAACACTAACCTGAAAACCAATATCTGAATGAACGCAAGTTTTATTGTTTCTACAACTTTGAAACGCAATTATTTGGAAACTTCTGGACAAAAAGCAACAAAGTAATAACTAATGTAACTAATTGACTCCCCTTTCCATTTCAGATTCTAACATCTACATCTACCCGCCCTAGGGGGTTGAAACAAGAAAGCTAAAAATATTAATTTATGTGTCCCTCTTACAAATAAAATTGACGGGTCTTTCCGATTTTTCATATTTTCAACTGCAAGAAAGATATTAATGGTAAAAACTTTTCAAATTGACATCCTGTATACATATAGCCTTCAGAGTACAAGAGTGCATATCTCCAGTGGTTCGAAATTCAAAAATTGGGGGGTTCGGATTATGGGTATTATTTATTTAAGAGTTGTGAATTTCGTATGCGTTAGAGGCTAGTTTGTATATATTATTAAGGGTTGGGACTACTGATAAAGTAATAAGTATTAATACTGTAATTCTAACTTCTGTTGTCCCAGCTTTGTCTTCCGCAATTCTGATATTTTACGTTCCTGTTGAAAAATTTTCTTCTCAATGAAACATTTTTGAAAACGCGCTATTTTATTTCTATTTCTAAAACGCATTTATTCTTTTAACTTTTCATTTAGATCTGCTTCTGCAATTTTTTAGCAATTCAACTGGCAAATTCAAATATTATTATTTCGCCTTCAGATTTACACTGTCTTTACACATAATTTGTTGATTAAAGTACAGAAAACGTGTTCACTATGTTACACTTGGTCTATACAAGACATCAACATCCAGATATCTCGACCAGTTCACAACGTTAGAACATCACAGAAAACATAAAATCCGGTATGTTGATGACGTTTCCTGCCGCCAATTTCTTATAAAACTATCGCTATACCCACCGGAGACCAGAACCATTCCGTCAGTTGTACGAACAGAACCGATTTCACTCACTTTTCCAAAGTCGATATTGCGCTTTCGTCAACAATCTAGCTCAACCTTTGCTTAGAAGAGAGCCGAAGAAATTGTTTCGAAGAAGCAATTGCAGCGAACAGTCGCAGGAAACAGTTCAAGCAGCGAGTTGCTACGATTGATAGTGATTAATTGTTTTTTTTTCAAAACTAATTTAAAAGGCATAAAAAAACATGATGGGTTTAGCCGGTGTTTTGTGCTTATGTGCGTTGTTTGGTGGACTGCAGGGTTCCGCAATACCCATGTGGGAGTATTTAAGTAAACAAGAAAAAGTAAGTTCATTTCAAGATTTATACTAATGTAGGAAAAATTATACGGTTTTTCCTTCTTTCACATTTTTTTTGTAAACTTATTTTTACTTGCATTGCAGCGCAAGGGTCATTATTCTACTTTAAGTCCACATTCCATTAATTATTTGCTGTAATTATATGGCTCTCGAAAGGAAATGCTTCATAATATATGAATTTAATTAGCGTCCCCTGTGAAGACTGTTATTGAATAATTTAATCCGACCTACTCGTATGCAGAAGTGGAGCACGCCAGCTTAAGATTGATATAGTGGATCGTTCAATCATTTCCCGTCAAATCGGAAGTCGCATATTAATTGAAACTGCTTTTTTGCCCCATTTGGGTCCTTCACATTCTTTTAAAGCCACAGTTTCTACATAGCTTAACTTTGAGCAAATKCCGATTTATTGATAGTTATTTTCGTATTTTTGTACCCTGAAGTACCCTGAAGTAAAATAATTAACATTCATTTTCGCTATTTAATGTTTCCATATWCCACAAAGAAACTTTTTGTAGACCGTTGCAATGAAACTCCCAAGTACCTATCGATCATTCTGTTGAATAAGTAAGTTTACCTTTGTAAACTTGAGGGTCAATTCATCATCAAATATCTGCAAAGCTGTTCTTTCTCTACAGGGATCCAACATATTATTGGGTTTCCGCTTCCTTTTTATATAAGTTTATGAAAATTAAATTTAAATTTAATGAATACGATATTACCGAACACATATTTAAAGCTCATTAAATTAACGTCTAATATTTTTACGCCAAAGCTGTTAAAGGAATTATAAAATCTCAGACATATTGAATAAAACAGTGAATAAGGTGTTCAGTGAAGTTCAAGTGAAGCTCAAATGAAGTTGCAGTTTCGCTCAAGAAATTCCCCGTCGAGAAAACCTACGTTGTATGAACAACATTTTTCTCATATTTTTCTGTATTATTAAGTATATGTTTTGCTGTTTCGATGTGCCTAACTTCAGATGCTTTTTAAAAAGTAGCAATGAATAATCGTCTTTAGTAATTCGTGCATTCTATTGAATTTCATTACAAAAGCTTGCACATCAGGGCCTGATTTTATCTCTTATACTAATTTAAGAATAACACACATTTATCAGTAGTAGCAACAGTTTTAGCGGTACCAAACATACTCATTCGATATGATTGTATTTCCTGAGGGTTTTCTACTGTTGCATGCTCTAATGTATCAAATATGACATTCGTGCACGATATTTTAAATTCCATTACTTGTGTAGACAAAAATAGCGTTTTCCATGTTACTAAATTTTCATTCTCAATTTATTAATGTATACTTCAACTGCACCACATAGAAGCACGGATATTAAATTTCATGAATGCACTTATGTGTACTAAAGCATCTACGTGCGTCTAGAAACGTCTTTATTTTATAACATAAATAGCTGATTGAGAATATGTTGTGAGATAATAAATAATACAAGAAGCCAACATATTCAAATTCTTTCACCAATTAAATATTCCATATCATTATCAATGTACTATCAAAATGATTCATACAAAATAAATTTTCTTCACTATTTCTATAACATTATTAGTTTTGATGTTTGATGCAATGATAATTTAATTGAAAAGTCGTCAAAATCAGGAATTATCTTTAAAACATTTGCGTTCTTTGAAGCCTGAAGCACGTCTTTTAATTGTTTTTATGAACTTAGTGGTTATTTATGCGGCCGTTGGCATAATTAATTAATTATTTATCCGAACCCCATTACCCTTATCTTGTCATACGCATTAAAACTCGTTATCAAAAAAAGTTAAATACACAACAGTTAGCCAAGAGAAAATCATTAAAACAACATGTTTGTTGAAAAGAAAGTGTTGACCCCAATGACAACAATTTAATTATGCGTTCTAGAATCATTATTGTTAAAGAGGCACGTCGTTAGGAAGCGTAAACAATTAATGCAATGCTGTTTCGCACATAGTTCGAGAAAAGTCTTGACATAAATAGGAATAATCAATTGCAACAATGGTTTGCCTGCGATTTAAACGAAAATATGATTATTCCTTTATATCCTTGGCTTTTTAATTTTCGCTGAATTTCAACCCATTAATCAAAGCAATCAAATAATAGCCTTAAATCAGGCAAGGCTTGTGCAAAACAGCTCATTTACGTAAAAATAATCAATTCAAAAATGCTAATGGAACATTGGCACACCCTTTGAACTTCACATTTCGTTATATAAACGTCATTAAAATGGTACTGGGTTCTCGTATTTGATTATATAAGTAAATTTATATTTAAATCATGTTTTAGTAATACAAAGCGAGCTTGTTACGAACATGATATTCTGAGTATTATAATGAAAAAATTGTCTAGTAGTTGACGATAAATTAAAAACCAATGGCCAGTCTGTGTGTTGTAACTGCAGCATTTCCCACGAGTCAATAAGATTTATTGTCTCTTGCTAGAATGCCTACAAAAAATCATGGAAGAGATGACTCATTGATGTATTTATCAGTCACATCGACAATTTCGCATTGTTTGAATCGACGATTCAAGGGTAAATTGACAATGTAATCCTCGTATGACTTTTACCCAGTACACACCTCCAAAGAAGGAGTTCAAGTCCTATTATACCTAAATAAAACGAAGGCTGCTTCTAGATTAGCAATCTTCAACACTCGCCTGTACTAATGTCGATTTATTACCGCGTACCTTTAACAAAACTTTTTATGAGCCATTATTTTCTTTATCAGCCGGTAGATTATTCTTTATATGGTCTTTAACAATAACTACGTTACTTTTTGCCCAAATACAATATTTCAAAACAACTAAGCTTTTCCTTGGGTAATCATTAGGTGTGATAAATAAGTGTTTTCGAGGTAAAGCCCTTAAAAGTGACCGGTATTTTTCATAAAACCTTGTTTATAATCAGTAAAAGACGCCCATGAAAAATAGTGTTTTATTTTAGTTTAAATAGGCGTCTTCTACTGATTATCATCACGGTCACTAATTAACCACTACATCACTTGTTTATAATTTTACCAGTTCAGGAACGAGAGCTTTTAATCAAAATTGCCAATTATCTTGTGAGATAATGCTCCAAAAATATTTTCGCATTTAAATTACAAATTGTAACTGCTTTTGTGCTGGTTAATTAAAAATTACCAGCTGGCAGGAGACCTAGATAGTCTAGATTCCATACCGCAAAGATTTTCTCTCAAAATATCCGAAACCCAAATACCTCTGAAGTACATATGCGCTTTTATGCCGTAGCAGGTAGTGACCTACCAAGGCAAATAAAAATTTCCTGTTTATCTTTATTTATTTGACGGCACAGCTACCGTTTTATTGTACTTAAGCTGTAAATGAGGCTTGACTGAAGATAAAGCTGCTGCTATTGATGTATTTTTATTCAAATTATAAATCCCACAAGGCATGAAATTATTCAAAAATGGCGTAAAGCCTGCTATTATGCTGTAAAGGAAGGGAACTCTACAATTCTCTCAAGGCAACGTTACACATTTATGAATTAATAAAACCACTAAAGCACCTCATTAAATAGCAATTTATATTGTTTTCTTTATTTTTCCAATATCCACTGGCGGAAAAAAAACCTGCTCTCTGCAGTTAGATAACATGAATAATGAATTTAGCAAATATTTATTCAGCATTCGATGCATGCTAATTGTATCTTTTTGCAGTAACAGTTTTTCGATTTTTATTGCTGGAAAAGCGGTGGAAAGTCGTCGGTAATGGCGTAACAGTACTGATGATTACTGTTATATAGATTGGAGTTTACCTCTTGGAATCTATGAATTATTTTACGTCAAGCCACCGTTTTATAAAATTATTTGTTCAATTCACAAGCACTTGAATTATGTTCGTTACTTTTTTTGTGTTTGGATACTGAAAAAGTTCTGGTATTGATAACTGAAAACATTACCGGATGTTAATCTAATAGTGTTTTCTAATTGTTTCAGACTTCCTATATTTATTCACTATTTGCAAATCAAGTTGACAAATTCTGTGAAGGATCCAGTATACCCCTATGTAGCAGGCAACTTTTGAAATATGGTTTGGGTACCCTTAAGAATATCGAAGAAGAGGATTTGGACGCAATGGACCCATATCAAAGAGGTGCCAATAATATAGGTAAGCAACTTCTCCTTTTTAACATTTCCTGAAGACTATTATTAATAATAATAACGCTAGTTTTAATAATAGTTATTTACTGTAGGACTAGTAGGAGCGCCCTTTCCTGCCTCATTCTACTGTCTATTAAAGAAAAGTTTCTTAATCCATAACCAATTTAAACAAATAAGCGCACCTTGAAACGCCGCAAAATGCAGTTTGCCCTTTGAGATACAATGCGATTGTGTATATGTGTACCTTCTTACAAAATATCGGATATTATTTAAATATTATGCAAGCGTAACACATCAAGGTTGTGGGTTTAAATAACCGTAATTGGCTGGTGAAATAGTTATAAAAATCCCAGATGCTTATCTTTAGATTTTTTTTTATGGGAACTGCATCATGAATATTTTATGCGCTTGATTTTAAAAAGTAACGGTTGAATATTTTTTTCAATTTACCCGAATTTCGAGCTGTTCATTAGGAACGATTATCAGTAGAAAGGTGTGTGTGGGTCGAAATTCAACGAACAATAAAATCACGAATGATTTAAAGGTGGTACCTACAATCATCATTAAAATAATTTAATTAAAAGCCCATGAAGGTTACAGTGCATACAATTTTTAAATGCACAGGTTGAACAAATATGTATATCAGCAGTAAATATGTTAATATTTATTTTGTAATAAGGTTTTTTCAGTGAATTTATCGTGTCAAGTTCATGCATACAACTATATATGGATATAAGATCTTCACGCTAACCTTCAGATTTAAATGATTATCTTGAAATATACAATAATTCAGAGTTAGCAACTAATTCATTTACAGGATAATACGAGAATGTTGTATACAATGGGCACTTTTTTTACTCTTCAAAGTTCAAAGAACTTGAATTAAAAATTTAAAGCTTGATAATACCGTGCCAATCGATTGAAGTGATTTTTTTCTAGTGACTTTATATATGAAATATTAATGCAAATATATAGAAAGAGGCAAAAGGCTCAAAGATCAACAGTTAATTTGTTTCCATACCTGTATAATTGAAAAGAGCCGAAGTAAAATCAATTTATGTTTACCATGATAATTGATACCTACGTGAATAACACACACAAAAATATGTTATTTAATATTATTCTTATAGATAGCACAAAAGCCAAAATTTATGTTTGTTATAACTTTAATATTTGACTAGCCTAGACTCTAAAAAATGTAAAGGCCTGGTGTATGATTTTATCAGAAAAGAAGCCAAATATAAAATAACTCAAAAACATGTTTGCTGTAAATTTTATCGCCTTATATTTAAAGAACGAAAAACATGCATACTTTCTAGTTTTTTACGCAGCGGCATAAAAAATACGTTTAAAAAAATAATCAAAAATTCGATTTTTTGAAAATGCCTATGAAATTTAAATCTTTAGACATCGGTGAGATTCATTTTCGATGTTATATCCATTTTGTATTGCAATATTTTTTAAACCATTGTTTCACTACTACGTCATAAAATTTAAAAAGATAAATAAAATGATATATGTTGCAAACATTTTGTAAAATTCTAGTGAAACATTATTTGTAAATATCTGCTATTACTGGATTTTTATATGCGCTTTTAATATAAGTTTTACAAATTACAGATTCTTAGCAAGCAAAGCGAACATTTTGCGATTCTCGTAACCTGAGTGTTAAAAAGTACAATGAATAATTCACGGTCACTTAAAATAAAAACAATCAGCATAAAAATGCAACTCTTCAAATAATTTTAACGTATCTATTTGTTCAGGCTACCCAGTTATCAAGAACATAAATTCCTTTCCAAATGCACCATCAAACAACGTATCCAATATGAGAACAACGTTTTGGTACACGTAAAGCGGCAACCTTGACTTTTCCTATTGAGTTAATAAAACGACAAACTAATTAATAACAAAAAAAATTAAGAACCGGACACATCTCTTTTGGAACTTCATATTGTTCGCAGTTTGACGCGCCCACATATCGAAGATCGAATAATACGAATGGGTGTTTGTGGTATCTGTGACTAAAATGGGTTATGCTTGATGAATTATTGGGAAAGGTGATTTGAGTGAATCATTACCCTAACACGAAATAGCGTCATTAATAAGCTAAGGTCACGGTGAAAATATGCACGGGAACAAACATAACATCATTTTTTAGACGGTCATTGTTTGTTAACTGAGCAATATGAGCAAAGTAAACTTCGCTTGATACACTAATGATCTAAGAATAAAAAACGTATTTTCCGAATTATCGGCAGATGATTTATTAGTTGATTTTGTTGCAGTTTGGGAAACCCTCATGCAAGGCCATCGCTTCCAAAAGACCACTCCTAAGCCGCAGAAAAAAGGCAGCAAGTCAAAACCAAACTCTTTTGAAGACGAGTCATTCTCTGATTACGAAGATTATGAAGCAGGAAATGAAGATAGCGGCCGTCTCGACAATGTCTACATCCTTCCTCCACCTAAGGGCTTTGTATCAAAAGTTGATGATGAAAAAACAAACGACGAAGCCGAAGTAGTTGAAAAGTCCGGAACTAATATCATTGATATTCTCAAAACTCCCGATGGAAAAGGCGTTTTCAATCGGTTCCAAAACCAGTACCGTCCTGTAGCAGTTTCAACAGAAAAAGTAGCGAGCAGTACTAAAAAACCAATTTTAAATAGGGAATCCTACTTTATCGATTTTCCCTTAACTGGTCCAATGGTAGTGAAAGTATACCCTGATGGAAGGCCGGTTAGAGAAAGCACGCAGACACCTCAAGACGATGATTTGAGACAGTATCAACTTCAAAAAGTTAAAATTCCAACTTTTTAATTCAAAGATGCGGAATACTGAGGTCAAGACTTGCGCCAAAACCCAGAAACGGCGATGAAATGAAGAACAGAACACTTGCCGGCTACAAGTGCAAACTTTTATTTATCATATAAAGGCTAAGTTTCTTCTAGGGAAACACTTCAGAAAATCAATCAACTTTAGAAAGTACAAACTTCCAATTATATTTAGGATCACCAGATCTACTTGTTTATTTTTTTGCGTAGCTTTTGCATTAGATCAGTTAGCTATCGATATTGCAACACTTGCTGAAATAGGATAGTAATCGAAAAAGGAAAGTGCCAAAAAGGAAAGTGTAAATGCAATTTCAATGTTTTGTGATATAATGAAAACATTATTTATTAATTTTCTACCTAGTGTGTGTATATTTCTTGTGTGTGTGAGTGAAGAGATTAATGAATGTATCTTTAAATGATTGTATGATTCCTAATTTATTGAATGTCTTGCATGTATATGTGCACTTTAGCTATTCTCAAGTTCTTGTATATACAAATAATCAGTTATTGTTCTAGATTATAACATTAACTATAAGTGCGTTGTGATTAGAATTTTCTGCGCCAGAGCTTATTCTGGAAATTCCTATTAAAATTGTATTAGTTAATGACAAAATGTTAATGTATCTTTGCAATAAAATATTTTTACAACATACAAAGCGAGTTTTTTTAGAATACTTTATTAGTGAATTAGAATTTGTTTTTTTTAAGACTACGCACAGTTTTTTTACTGTGTCAAATCACAAATCAAAATCCGCAAAAACAAAAGAAAAAAAATTAAAAAATAACCCAGCATCGAACAACGCACGAAAATTTGTTTTGCGACGATGCAAGTTCTAAAAATAATGTCTTCGGGGGTTTTGAACACAACTGAAAAATCAAATTAGATAATTTATTATTGAGATTCACAATACAGCAAATTGTGGGACGTGGTACTAGTGGGAGTTTTCAAAGTTTTAGAAATACGCCAACAAATCAGCAAATCTGAATCAATAAAAACGTGTGTGTATCCAAATTAGTTGAACGCTTCAGCGCCAGTAGGTATTGGAAGATTTATTTTCAAGCGATTGTCGATTTCAATAAAAATTTTGCGCTTAAATTAAATATCAGTAATTAGTGATTGACCAAAATATACACGAAGAAAAACAGTGAAAACATTTTAACCAAAAATACAGTTAAGTTCCAAAATAAATCTAAACCGTAATCGAAAAAAAAGCGAGTGGTTTCGTAACTAGGTACTTAATGGGCTTAATTAATGCGCCTTAAAGATTTATGCGACATCGAAAAAAGGAAAGTTTTTAATTTGTTTTGGTTGTAATGATGCGTAACAGCTAACTATTGGGTAATTGAAGGAAAATTATCATTTGTAGAAGGAAATTTAGTTAATTAATACCTCCCCTTAAACCTAGTAACGCACTTCAAATCACGTAAAAATCAGCAATTAAAAAATGTTAATTATTTAAACTCAAACAAACGTATTTTTTCTGTCTTCACCACGACTACTAAATATTTTATGTCTAAGAGGGTATGTAGTAGTAGTAGTGGTATTGTGGGGGGGGATGAGTCCAGCGAGTAGGCCCTAAAAGCCCTTTTCGTCATTCCCGCTCCAACCATCCCCACCTTACTACTTCTGATCTTTGCCACCCTGGCGTCTCGTCTCCCTGACAAAGGCAAGGATCCGTCTCCACTCCAAGGAAGACAGTTCGATGCGGGAGAGTGTAGAGGCCCCATGGAGGCGCCTCCTAATAGATGACCGGTGATGGCAGGCTCCTAATAGGTGGTATGATGTTTTCTCCGCTATTCCGCATTTTGGACACACGGGGCTATCACCAATTCCTAGTAGGTGTCTGCCTGTTCAGACCACAGTGGCCTGTCATGACCCCAACCAGAGATCTCAGCGCTCAGCGACTCCTTGACATCATCCAATTGGATGTCACTTGGGGTTCCTATCAACTCTTTGGCTTGTCTATACCCTTCTGCCTTTCTCCGCATCTCTGTGGTGCCTCTAAGAGCCCACTCATTCAGAGCTTTTGGTACCTGTCGGTTACTTAACTTTATGTGAGGTTCGGCAGTTATTTGGCTCTCAGAAGATCCGAGCCTTGGTAATGTATCCACACTAGGTTTACTTGTTTCTGTCCTGCCACTCCTGAATCAATTCTGGATCAGTCCACTGCCTTAAGTGAACTTAACACTTGAGGGCAGCCTGGCTGTTGGAGTAGATCTCGATCATTTCCTCTGGTCCTTCCGTAACTTCCCTATCTCTGGCAAAAGAATGCATATAAGTCCGCCTGAAACACTGTCGTCCAGTGCTCCAGGGAGAGGGACGCTCCCTTGTTGGTGCCTTGTCGGTACACACCCGCCTTATACCATCCCGTGAGGCATCGGTATACCAACATTGCACTCCCAGTCGGGCGGCCAATGCGGTAAAATTCTAACTTTCTTTTGTTGGGATTTCCATCTTGAATTTATTTTCGAACCTAAGTCCTCTGTCAGCTGGGACCAGCTTTTCACTCAGGATATCTACCAGGGTTTACTATAGATGAAAAACTAGATCCCCGAGTGTTTAAATATATATATTCCATATAAAAACAAACAAATGACTATACAGAGTGCTTTCTAAATTATAACGTGTTAAGCACTAAAATATGCAATATAAACCCAATTGTTGCAGTTACAGTAGTCTTATTTAAAAATAGGTTCTATAGCGCGTAAAAAGTCTTTCTCAAACTTGTTTACACTAAATCTGTCACAACTCGCCCGAGCTCTTTCTCTAATATCGTTTATTTCCTCATCTCTGGCATGTATTATGTAGTCAAGAGTGTTCGAAAATTCTCCAGCAGTGGTAGCTAAAAATCCGAGTCTCGATCCTGTAGTAGTTTCAATAATATCTAACAAAGGTCCTCCGGATTTATGAGCGACCATTATTAAACCAGCAGCCATTTGTTCGACCACACTAATTCCAAAATGCTCGTCTAACATTGTATGAATTCCAATGTAAGCCTTGCCAAACTCCTCTAGTAAATCATTATACGATATATTCACTTTAAACTCTACATTATTCTCTAACGACAAGTGCATGGCAAAGTCTTGCAAGTCTTTAACTCGTTTATAATCATCTTCATTTCTGCAACTGCCGCATAACACTAGAGTAACGTTATCAAACACCTGGTCGGAAATGATTTCACGTAGATTATAAAGTGCCTGTAATTGTAATGGATGGTCTTTCTCAGGTCTAAATTGGGCTAAGCTTAAAATTCTGATCTTAGACGGTTTTGTTGAGTTGTGCTCAATTGTTTTCAAATGGTCTACTTCACAAGGAGGATACACAAGCGACATTGGTGAATTCCACAGAGCTTGTAGATTTTCTAAAGTAAATGTGGAGTTTACTAAAGTTGCATCCGAAGATTTGCTCGACATCTTATACAACTAAAAAAATATAAATTGTCAAAATAATAATATTTATTATTATTTATAATTAATATATATTATACTAAAACCGAGTTATCTTTCCTTTCTTAGTTTATTATTTATGTTGTAACAGAAGACAAATGTTTGATGTTCGTATATAAAAGTAAGTCATCGCAAATCAAAACTCTGTGTTAGTCGGCAGATAGATCTATCTATTTACATATTTACAATTACCTACATATCTAGGAAAGTGCTAAAGGTGATCAATATTGGGTAAATGCTACTTACCCAAGACAATGCATGATAATAACACAGTTTGGTATGCGTTAGAGTAATGCTTTGGGAAATAAAGTTTCTATTGTTATAAATGTTCCGTCTGTCTTGCACTCGCCCTAACATCTCTTTCGTTATTAATGGATAATGGACATAGCATCCCACTTTACATCCCCCCAAAATTTTAAACAACGGCAGAATAAAAGTAAAACCTGTTGTTTCAATAAAGATATCTGAAACAAAAATGAATATTGTGTTGTTTCTGCTTAAAAGTTGGTAAAGCAACGATTACTTGAAAATATGCTCCGACTCTTGAACAACATGCTTAAATTGGTAACTATTGGTTTTATTATTTATGTTCTTTTGATTTGTCATCGGCTTTTTACACAGATTGTCACGAAGTTGTAGCTGGTTTTTAGTCTTGTGCGAATAACATTTTTGTTATAGATTATATACGTACAATACTAGTATATTTAAGTTTCTGTTATAATTTTCGTTATAAGTTGGTAGGCAAAACATTTTTGCAAATAACCAAATTTTTCAGATTTCTATTTGTACAAAAAAACCATACTAGGAAAAGGATCATCATAATCTCTGAATTTCGATCCAATCATCAGAGTTATCAATAATGTTTATTTGAACATTAGTTTATTTTCCACTTGACATATGCAATGGTGAACAAAATTAGCGCACCACCTCTAATTGAAACGTAACTTTATCAAAAATCAAAAATCGAAACTGCAATCAATATTTATTGAGAAACGAGATTAAAAATTATTTTTCAATACACTGACAAAAATCGTAACCAAACACATTTTGGTAAATTAGAACCAGAGCAGCAAATTATTGTTGCTAGATAAGAGATGCCGATCCATAATAGTTATCGAATATGTTCGGCGTTAAGTGTGCAATTTTTCAATGTCGAAACCACCCAGTGTACGTAAAAGAATAGAAAATGATAGAACTAATTGGCTACGATACGCACAATGTCCGCTAAAAGTGGTAACAAACAACTTCAGCTTGAAACATTCGACCCAATTTGTTAGATAACCAAGTTAAGTACTCATCGAACATGTTTTTACTAATATTGCGTCTATGCTAGGCATGGCATTAGGTGTTAACACAGCTATACCGATACGGTTTGCAGTGTCAATACAACGTCAGCGCAATTGAGTCATGATACAGTAAACTCATCACCACTTGTTTGCCTATTTCGCAGGATCAGATTGAGCTGGATCACTGGATAGAGCATTAAATGCCTCCTTTGATAGGCAAATAGGTGTATTAGATTTACCACCTTTGTTTTCACTTTCAGAATTGGCGCAAATATGACGCTGCCTTTTCCGTCGTATCTCAAGACCCATTTGAGCTACAGAGCTCGTATCGTTGGACAGATAATTAAAAACCTGATTCAGAACGTGGAACGTCAGCAAAGACTAGCAGTTTTCACATAAACACGAAATTTGAACATTTATATTTACGGAGGCAATTAGGCCTCAATTGCGCAACTTTTTGGCTCATTTTTCAGAATCTGATTGAGCAGCGGCTTTTATCACTTCCAAAATTGGCGCAAAAATGATTCATTTGAGCTATCGTTGGATAGAGAATTAAAAACCTGACTCAGAACGTGGAACGTCAGCGAGAAAATACTGGCATTCTTTACATAAAAGACAAAATTTGACCATTATAGATTTAGGCACGCGATTATTTTTTGCCAATTTCTCAGGATATCTGGTTAAGTGTAAAGTGTCATGGTGTTGTGCCGTGAGACGCGAGGTGTTTCACCACCCTGACACCCAGAGCGGTATCAACACACAAGTATTATACAGTGTTTTACCCATTTACTAGTCTATGCCTATTGTTTCGATACAAAGCTATGTTTGTCACATAAAAGCAATTGAAAGGAATAAGACGACAAATTTATGTCAATGAAACACTTTAGTACCAGCCAGCAGTTCGAAAAGCACACAATTTTTTCAAATTTTGAATTTCAAACTTGTTTAATGTTCTCAGTACGTGTTATATTTGATACTCATTAGTGTATATTCGATGTAGCGGTAAAATATTATTTCTTTTGATTTTGTTAAACAATAGAAACTAAGAAATAGCAGATTCTAGAGATAGATCAGCAAATAAAACAGCAGTTCTTGACCTACTGAGGCTTTTAAGCACTCAATATCATGATTAAATAATCAAAAGCTTACCAGGATTAATCTGGTTGATGGCCTCAAAACCTAAGTATATCGAGCCAATAAGTTGACCCAGCAATGTAAAAACTGGGTACTTATCAGCTTCTACCCATTTTCTGCTAGTGAGATATATAAATTTCAAACGATCAGATTTTATCTCCACATTTAATGTATCTTTCACCTTCTTTTTGATTTCTACCGGCGAAAATGCAACGTCTCCAGTGTAAAGATACAAAGTCGCATAAGGATATCTGAAATTTCGTTTGATGTGACTAGTTGATATTTAGCGATTTGTACATAAATGTATTCAAACCAGGGGTTCGTGTAATTATTTACTTTTCTAGTAGTGCTCTGATTGCTACCCATAAAACTTTTTCTCCTCCACCACCAGCATTGGCATAAGGGTGAAATATTCCAACACTTAAGCGGTCATTTCTCTTTTGCCTCTCTACTTTAAATTTCTCTCTATAGTATAAATAGACCAGAGGACCGACAATAACTACGACCAAGAACAGGAACAGGCCAAAGACAAGTAGCAATTTTAGAGTTGCAGCAAGAGAAAACCTAAAATATTTAAATGTCCCTTTAAACTAGTTGAATTTATGAGGTTACAGCAGTATGATATTTGTTCAACCTGAAAGAAACTTACAGGAAACCCATAGTAGATGCCATGCTAAAGTTAAATGCTATTTGTGGCAATACATTTTACTTAAAGTAACAAACTAACATTTTACTGTGATAACCGATAAAAATTGATGACAAATAAGGATTATAGATAGATGTATCTTCTTCTTCTTCATCGACCCATCTTTTGCCAAATGGTGCATGTGTACAAACAATGTTTATTGATGGATGTTTTATAGCAGTGACGTAACTGAATCCACTAAATTTTTTTATAACTTCAGTTTTTAAACGCTTTTCTAGCATTTTCTCTCCGTTCTATAACGATTAACCGCTTATATGATATGTCTTGAGCCATCTACAGTTTATCATAACTTGAAATTTTTACTTGTGATAAATTTTGTATAGACTTATTTTTCAATTGAGTGAAAGAAGAATGAACAGTATTTGTTATTGTTGATTGTTTTGAAATTGTCATGACTTAACCTCAAAACAAACTGAAGAGTTTCGTCCGCTATGTGTATGATGTGTAAATAGAATGTGATTCCCAATAATTATTAAAATGGTAAGCAGTATATTCCCATATCATATATTAACTGTAAAAAATGTAAGTACATATATTTTTATTATAGAGACGAAGTTTTGCTCCCAGTCAAAAAGGAAAAGCCTCACCGCCGGTGACCCAAAGCACTGAAAACACGGCGACTTCGAACGTTTTAAAGCGATTTTCGTCACCACTTACAGAACCCTTGAAAAGGACTAAGAACAGTTTACCAGAGAATCCTAAAAGTAAGCTAAGAAAAGCTGTTGCAAATGTTGAAAACCATAAAGAAACAGTGTTGAGTCATGTAAGTTGTTCCAAGTACATACATTAGTAACTAAGATCAGATTAGATTTAGTACTAATGCACGTTATATTGCAATATCTTATTTCGATAATCCTGGAAAGACGCTTATTATTAAAATTGCAAAACAGCAATTCACGAAGGCTCAATCAAATACGAAATATGTATTCAATTTAAGGTAAATAATACTAATGCCTCTCACTAGCATTCACTAGAAGTTTGGTAAATTTGCTAAATTCAAATGCCTTCAAATGAAAAGGCCTCGAGCATAGCAGTAAATGTGAAGATTTAAATAGGAAACAAGAAGTGAGCGAGTGAATACAATACACTCGTTCCTTAGATTAATTTCATAAGTGCATCATTTATTAATCACGAAGAATTATTTGCCCATTCAGCAAAATTTAATAAAACGATTCACTAGAACAAAGTAACTTTTTAAACACGAATAAAAATGGAGCATTTGCTCGAAAAAGAAGAAAGTATTTTGTTTCGTTTCTAATTGTTTGCGTGGTAGAAATGCTTCGTTAATCAAACCGCTTGCTACACTTTTAAAAAAGTTTAGACAAGTTAATATTTTGTTATGATGTCTGGTTGAATATAAAAGACATAAGTACTTTGTAGCAGTTATAATGTGAGTGCGGTAGAAGAAGCAACGCTATCAGCTCTGAGGAAGAAAGTGCGACTTGTAAAGGGAACGTTCCGGTAAAACTTGTAAAGTTCCTATTTACAAAATTCAATTTCCTCCCGTATCGCAATCCACTTCTAATGTTTTGTCGTCTGCATTTTCCTTAATACCGTTATTTCCGTTGTTATTAAAGCTCTACTTCCTTCAATTCGAAGGCTGCCTCACCTAGTGTTTTTGCAATATTGTGTAGAGCAATGCAGCACTATTAGTTTAGGGCTGTTTTCAAGCTTCACTCGAACTTTACCAAATATTGCAGCATGAAAAATTTTGGCTTCAACTGTTGTAAGCAACGATCAATACGCTCTTGCGGTGTATCTTTATCATGGAATGATACATAGATTTGCTTTTTGCCAAAGTTTCTCCGATTCTTCAGCAATTCTTTTTAACACAGTACTTTGATAAAGTGAATAATAATATTTTATTATTAACACTCAGTTTAATATATTAATTTGGATCTTTCATGGATTAAAACGTTTAGTCGTATCGTTCATTCACAGCAAAAGATGTAAACTTTCGGCATATTATAGAGTGTAAAAGTAATTGTCACTGAATAGCTCAGCAGCGATGAACGGGAACATGTTAACTCTAATAGAGATCAACTTACTTATTTCCACTATAGTTTTTGAGATACCCACGATTTACCTCTGCGTGGTAAAACGTGTAGATGTAGATGATCTCCTATATTTTATATTATTGTTTTTCTTTTTACTTTTGTGTCTATTCATATGTGTAATTCACTTTGTTCATAAATTTTATTTCAGATTTTTTTATAGCCACAAAGCATATTTGAGTTGAATTTGAGAGTTCAAAGCGGATATGTAGTTTTAAAAACATCTCTAACGATTTGAACCAAAGTCTACACTGTGGATAGCCAACAATGCTAGGATTATGTTTCCGGCAATCGTGTCAAAAGTAACCAATATATTGTTGCAATGAATTAGTCGATATTCTAATGCAAAAATAGTAAATTTCTAGCGCAGCGTCCTGCTACGGAGCTGACTAATTTACAACCTAAGTAATAAAATATGTACTGTCCAGAAAATATTTTAGTAAACCTGCAAAGCAATGAAATTATAAATATTATAAAAATCAACCTGAGAGCAACTCAGATTTTTTACACAGATTGTAAAGAGAATTAGAACATCTTATCATAATTTCGCGACAAGCTATTGTTCCATTAGCAAAGGAATTGATAAATTATATTAAATATTCCTAATTTGAATATAATTTTAGGTTGACTGCTTATTCGTTTAAAACTGTTTAATATTGCTAAACTGTGTACATTGCGCTTCAAATGACTGCAAACATAGGAGTTTGAAATTATTTTTAAAATATTTTCTTATGACTAAATACCATTTTCTATCAATAGTTATGTTATCTTACTTAAATCATATCTACTACTAAAATATTCATTTTCTGTACATAAATCGTTAATGTTATATGTAGCTTATATTGCGTTTTAGGAAGATGTTATTAAAAAATTATCCAAAGCATTCTCTTGTCCTTTACCAAACTATGAGGGTTCTCAAACCACCAAAAATTTGGGCATTAGAAGACCGCAGCCTAAAAGAGCACTGTACGATCCCAATATGCCAAATGCTTTAGTTTTATTTGCGCCGCCCCCTCAGACAATGCACGACAAATTGAAAAGTGATAAGTACGAAGTTATACTGATATAAATTAGTGATATTACTTAAAATTTGGATATGTTTATTTTATTTGTAGATTGTATATACAGCGTGTTCCACTTAAGAAGAGACACTTCGTACTAATCTTCGTATTGTTGATGACAAACTTAAAAAATATCGTTTACATTTTTTATTCTTTTCAACTCTAAAATTATGACGCGTTAGTGTTGGCATTGAAAATAACTTTTAAATACATTTTTGTACTATCACTAACTTGAAGCAAACTATCACAAATGGGTATTATTCGCAAACTCGTAATAGTCTGAGCATAACTCTAGATTTTATGCTGAACTCGCCCGAAATTTTTACAGTTTCGACATATTTAATATTAACTACTATCTTCAAGAGAAAACCAAAATATCTAATCTGGGCCGTTCTCTTAAGAGGGCCACACTGTATATGCAATGAGTTGGGATGTTTTTTGTATGTTAGGAGTTAAGAGTTTCGTTATGTTTGTCTTATCTTTTTTAGAAATACTTTAGTGCATGTTGTGGTGGATCCCCAATTAGGAAATATCTTGAGACCACATCAAAGAGAGGTGAATATATTTTCTTAACGATTCAGGTTAGATATGGCTAAAAATCACGATTTTTTTCTAATTCTATTCTAAAGAATTACTCATGATATATATGTAATGTGCTTGGGATTTCATATGATCAGTGGCGGTTCTCCAATAAGTGCAAGTGCATGTGCTCCCACAAATTTTTAATGTCTTCTCAAAAAAACTTCTAAAATATGTTATTCTTGAAAAAAGCCCGGAAATACGATGAAGATCGAATCGAAGATGACGAAGATGAAAATTATAAAATATTTGCAGTAACAGAAAACGGATGGAGAAAAATAGCCCCCTCAATGGAAAAACATTTTAGGTAAACTGTATTAGGACTTTTTTAAAAGAATTGTTCTTCTTTTACTCATCTTCTAACAAAATAAAGGTTGAAAGTTCGACATCGCCCATCTTTTCAACAGTTTTTCTTTAAATGTACCTCGTGAATTGATCTCTTGAACTGATCTGTTGCGGCTATAAACGCATCACCCAAGTCACGTGGCTGTGGTTTCATTGCAGGTGTCGTTTGGGTGATGCGTCTAAAAATTGTTTAAAGATGAACGACGTCGAAATGATAATTCTAATTTTGTTAGAAGAGGAGAAAGAAGAAAAACAATTCTTTCAAAAACATCTTCAGAAAAGAAATCAATCGCATGGTATATAAATAATATAAATGAATATAAATGGTCGTATAAAAGAAGGGTATTTTAATTTTCTTATAAATGACCGTTTAAAGGAAGTTGAGAATAAGTTCAGAGAATTCTTAATCGTAAATCCATGGGTATTTTTGGATTTCCTCAATTAAAATATCATTTTAATTCGCTACAAAACGAGCTATTTATGTGCAAAGTACCATTAAAGGAGTAATTTGGGAATGGCTGCAAGTCGTGCAAATCGCCGTCGCAGTCGCACCAACGAAACTGTACATTTAGTACGTGCACGGGCTTTATTTTGTCGTGGTTTCGGGTTGTTTAGTCAGTAAGTCACTGTATCTGATGCATTTGTGGTCGAATCGGGACACTGATATCGCGAATTATGAGAATGGCAGAATTTTCCATTTATTTTTAAGACCCCTTCATTTGTACGATTTCTCGTGTCTGGTTTCAAAAAGTAATGCTCGTAAATCTTGCGCCGCCACTGCATATGATATGCCTTTTATAAAATGTTTCTATGTGATTCCCGCATTTATATACAGGGTGTCAAATTTATGTATGATTGTGTTACTGGAGTGCAAATACCTGACTCATACGGATGCATAATGGCCGATGAAATGGGCCTCGGAAAGACATTGCAATGCATAACATTGCTGTGGACTTTGGTGCGACAAGGCCCTGAAGCCAAACCGACTATCAGTAAAGGAATTATTGTGTGCCCCAGCAGTCTGGTGAAGAACTGGTTTAATGAAATAAACAAGGTAATTGTTATGTTGCCTTGGTAAGATTTACATTACAATGCAAAGATGGAAAATACGTTCAAGTCCAAGATGTTTCTTTTCAATTAGCACCTAGAGCTACTAAGATGTTGTGGTATTTTAGTGGCTTGGAGGACGTTTACCTGCAGTTATGATAGATGGAGGCGCCGATGTAAAAAAGAAAATTACTCAATTTATGCAAGGCCAAGGCAGGATGGCTATACCAGTTTTAATAATTTCATACGAAACCTTCAGAATGCAGGCTGATATTCTGCAAAGCAGTGAAATTGGACTTGTATTGTGTGACGAAGGTCATAGGTAAAGTATTATCACTTGGCGCTTTTACTAAAAAAGTTTGTACATATTTTGGATCAAGGAGATTTGCTTCATAAAGTATTTAATGATTTTCAAAATTCATTTATAATGAGTAAACGTTATAATTGAAAATAATATAATATTCTAGACTAAAAAATTGCGAAAACCAGACATACAGAGCTCTTATGGGTCTCAAATCTAAAAGGCGAGTGTTACTCAGTGGAACTCCAATCCAAAATGATCTTCTGGAATATTTCAGTTTAATTCATTTTGTAAATGAAGGTCTTTTAGGCACATCCAGCGAGTTTAAGAAAAAATACGAAAACTATATTTTAAAAGGTAATTGGTACAAAATTGTATGTTTGCCTGAAGTTAATTTTATAATACAATTTACATAGGTCAAGATTCAATAGCTACGGCACAAGAACGCGAAAGAGCTGTGGAAAAAATTACCGAACTCACCAACATCGTGAATAAGTGCCTTATCAGGCGTACTTCCGCACTCTTAACTAAATATCTTCCGGTTAAGTTTGAGATGATAGTTATTTGTCAATTGACCGCACATCAGAAGGAACTTTACTTAAATTATATTAATTCGGACGCAATAAGACGTACTATTGTTGACAGTGAACGAGGAGAAAGAGGTCCAGGTTAGTAAGTGACTGCTGGAAAGGGATTTGAATAAAGGTGTTTTGCCTTTAGATAAAATATTTCTGTCTGATGCTTTGCAGTGTATTCGGGGACCCAAAAACAATTATGCTGCTGAAGTATTTTTTTAATTAAATTTGTTGGTCTTTAATTCAAGTTCACATTTTGCACCATTTTGTCATCGATTTGATTGATTGAATTTAATAGCTTTGAGCATAACGTTATTTGAATATCAAAGAAATTTGTAGAAAATAATTTCTTCCGAGCGTTTCGTAAGCACGAGTGGCTTACATCTTCAGACATGGTATCGCTTGAAAGCTTACATTAAATTGCTCTATCTCTAAGCCACTATCTCGTAGCTTGATCAGTCCAGTGTGATAGCGCTGTCTACAATATATCATTAGGAGATTTTAGCAGAATTACTTAGTATGATTTAATACAAATTTTTTTGGTTGTAATTCTACCACAGGATAAATAAGAACTTCTTTGAAAACTTGTTGATATTAACTGAATAGACTTTGATTATTTTTGCAAATTACACTTTTTAATGTGTAAAATAATTTAATGGTCTTCAATTTAAATTTGGAAAGACTGATAAAGCTTGAGCAGTACAGTGTAAGCCTTGAAATTGTTATTTTTTTACACATTTAAAAGTGTAATTTGCAAAACTAAATAAAGTTTGTTAAATTAAAATAAAGTTTTCGAACTAGTTTCTATTTTTACAGGGGTAGTATATGAATAATAAAACGTATTTCTGATGAAATTCTGATATTTTATAGACAGCGCTATGTATTTCCCTCCAGGTATATTAATCCAACTATTTATCTATACGGGCATGATCGATGTCAAATTTTAAGCTTGGAAGCTCCGTTATATTTCAATATTTGGGCGAATGTTTAAAAAATTCTTCTTTTAAGTAGTTTTGGAGATCATTTATTAAAAATAGCAAATTTATCGCAACCTTTTATATTGGCGGAAAACTAAATCTACAGCTAATGTACACAATGAAATGAATTTAATGAATGTAAATTATATATTCAAAAGTGGGCTATTACGTTTAAAACAATCAACTCGGCCCAGTAAACCTTATTTTGAGCCAACTTGTATATTTCAAACTATCGGGAAAAATTCTTTTCACTTTTTATCTGTTGACTCTTATTGAAAACAAACAAATTATTGTATTTTCAGGCGGTACTAGTTCATTAGCGAGTATTACAACACTGAAAAAGTTGTGTAACCACCCGTATTTGATTATGGATAAGATATTGGAAGGAGGAGAAGGATTCGAAAAATCACAAAATATTTTGCCTCCCAGAAAAGGGGATTTGGATGTGAAGCCAGAACTGTCCTCAAAATGTATGATTTTAGACTGTTTTTTGGCCAACTTAAAGGCTAATTATAATGACAAAGTGGTAATAGTCTCAAACTGGACCCAAACCTTGGATTTGTTTGAAAAATTATGGAAAGTCAGGTATGATTCTTTACATGATCAACAAATCAGCTTTGTATCAATTTTGTTGCTTGAAGGAGAGTAGATGAAATGGTCACATTTAATCGATGATAAAATTACCTTCGTTTGATTTACAATTAATAGGGGTTATCAATACGTAAGACTGGATGGTACAATGAGCATCAAGAAGCGTGCTAAAATAGTGGAGAATTTTAATAAGCCGGATTCAAAAGACTTTATTTTCATGCTGAGCTCAAAGGCGGGCGGTTAGTATATGTCTTAGTTTAAAACTCAATCAAATATTGAATAATACATAGAATGTAAAAAAATATTACAAATCCAAAAATGGATTTTAGGTTGTGGATTAAATTTAATCGGAGCTAACAGATTAGTGATGTACGATCCGGATTGGAACCCAGCAAATGATGATCAAGCAATGGCAAGAGTGTGGAGAGACGGACAGCAAAAACCATGTTATATTTACAGATTCCTATCGGTAATGATGCAAAATAATTTTTTTTTCAGATTTAGTTGCGTTTTTTCGTTATTTTTTTAATAAAATATATTTTATTTCAGGCCGGTACCATTGAGGAAAAAATATTCCAAAGGCAAGCTCATAAGAAAGCCTTGAGTTCTACTATTGTTGATATGAACGAGGAGACAGCAAGACATTTTAGTGTTGCGGAATTAAGAGATTTGTTCAGATTGGAAAATACTGAGTCTGACACGCATTCCAAATTAAAGTGCAAAAGTTGTTTAAATAAAATACCGATTAAAAATCCCCCAGATGAAGCTGATTGCACTTCAGATTTATCGCAATGGTACCATTGTTGGGATAAGAAAGGTTTAGCAGACTTGGTAAATTTAATACTTTTTCAAATAAACTTTTAGTATCTACAACACGGGCAAACATTATTTCAGGTTTTAAAGCAGATTTGGGATGTGTGCAAATATATATCTTTCGTGTTCCATCAAAAATCAGCCAAACAAGAAGTTCAGAAAACAAAAATTCTTGAAGAAGATAAACACTCAGATTATGAGGACAAAGAGGACACGGATGATTCCGACTATGCCGGTTAAAATACATAGTGAAGTTAAAAAGCGTTAAATTTTGTGTAAGTACGGTACAGTTTGTCTATGCAGTCCTTTTGTTTTATTCCAACTTTTACTCTACATGTTTGGAAATTTTGTTTAATTATTTATTTATTTTGCTTTGTATTTGAGTATATCTGTCATTGTCAATTGATTATAATAATTTCTGAAAAAATGTTTCAAAGGAAAATTGATTTTCATGTTCGTGCTGGCTTTCAGTTTTTATATGATTAAACGGATTAAAAGTAAGACAGCTAGCACACTGTCGTCAAAACACATGGTTATCAGTGATGGAACATCCTCATTACAGTGGAGACTTATTGTGTGATAATATAGTTCTTGTTTCCATAGCCTACTACACATTTTTTATCTCTTTTCAAGTTTTACGGCAACAAAAGGAGAAAAACATACAAACAGTTATATCGTTAAATTCAGAAAAAATAAGGATTTTAAAAGGCCCAGAGCCAACTGTGATTACCATTTAAAAAAACACGTTTATTTTTTATCTCGTAAATCAAGTTGACTATGACAACGAGTGCTAGTTTATTGAATCCAACGCAAAAAGTTCTACCAAAGACAATTTTAACTTTTTTTCTAATTTAAGCAGTTTACGAATTATATGATCATTAAAAAAGTGTTGATTTCTTGTCTTTTCAGAATATTTCAGGCCCTAAGTCGGGTACCTAAATTTTGAAAACGGTAATGAATAGGCAATCGAATTCTGCCCAATTTTGCCCATTTAACAGATTTTCTATCTTTAAAAATGTACTAGTTACTCATACAAAGATTCAGAAAATGGCCACCCTGTATAGTGTGGAATTGCAGATAAACGATTTTTTGTATTTGAATTTTTTTCTATCGTTTTACCGAAAACTTTTACTTCGCTTACCGAAATATATATCGATATAGATCATTATCAGGCTAGTTTTGATTTAGATTGGATTACAAGGAAATTTATCAATTACTTTATGAATTACAGTTGCCAGAAATACCCAGATTTCTTCATAGGTAATGTTTCACCGATACAAATGATGTAGTCGACATATTTTAAAAATATTTTTTTGATTTTGCCTGCTGTTAAACGCAACCGTATACGTTTATCAGTAATATTGAAACATTATTCACGGCTAATCGGCTACCAGAAATCTATAAAATAATTGAAAACAAACCTTTGACATCGATAAGTCAAATTTGGCATCGTTGCAAACAAATTGCTTTGTTTGTTCGACCAGTTGGCCTGAAACTTGATAGATGACACCACGAGCGGAGGAAAGAAAAAGCATATGGCGTACGTTTCTATTTTTGCTTGATGCAAAGTATTTTATAGTGAATTGTTGTGTGTCGTGAGTTGGAAGGTTTGAGTTAGTTTCTCGGTTATACAGCAGTCCAATTTACAAATATTCGCAAGCGTTCCGAATAATTTCTTATACATGATTACGTGTTTACGTATGTTAAGTTGTTGACGAATAAACCGACCTGTGATATTAAAATTAGTTATTATATAGGTTTTCTTTATACAATTTTTGATTATTTATTGTACAACGTAGACTAGAGATTTCACATTTGACTCTTATAAGTGAACCAAAGAAGAAATCTAATATAATGTCGGAAAACGGCACCGAACTTGATCAAACAACGTCGAACTCCATTGACAAGCAGTCTAAAAATGGTAAGTTTTACTTGGAATTTTCATCCCTTAACTGGAACCCCCAATATCAATTGAAGGTGTCAGATGCGAAGTAGTTTCTTAAAAATGCGGTGGCAGTTGTAAAATCAATAAGTTCCCACAAAAATGCGTCGACCCAAATTGGATATTTTGTCAGATACCTTTGTTATTGTGTAATGCTGCATTGAGTAATTTACAACGCATTTCATGTTTTGTTTTTGTTATATTTTTCATATTGGCCATACTGTTCAACCAGACATTTTGGAGTCAAACCATATACTTTAATCTTAGACTCTTTCAGTAAATCTTATTTGCATTTATTTATAAAGACAGATAAAAATACAAAGTGACAAAATTGCCGCAAGAGCAACGAAATAATTCGACAAATTTATTAACCGTAAAGAAATTGAAAAATGCGTTCTCAGCTTGAAGTATAAACAAGCATGTTATTAATAGATTTGCAAATTGGACAATTATTTGTGATATACGTATTTCTTCAGGATACCTACTTATCAAGATGACTGGTAAGTACTAGTGAATGCAAGCAGTTATTTGCAATATTTACCCCTAGTAAAAACGATCATAATATTTCAATTATAACTAGAAATAAGTATCTGCTGGATCACCTAATATCAGGTGGACAATCGAGATAATACGACTGAAAATAATGTAGAAAGAGTAGATGAAAAATCTGATTACGAACAAATTGTTCATTATCAATTTAACTTTAGTTCAACGGTCACACATGTCTCAAGTCATTGCCCACCAAAGTGGGTACAAATCTAAGTCAATAGTCTAAATTCAGTGAGACTATTTACTATATACCTACACACTTATTCAAACACTTCACAAAATCCACCTCTTTTATAAGAATGAATGTTACGGTTAAGCTTGGAACTTGGCTAATCTCGACATTAACCAAATGGTTAATCTAGAGTTTAACTTAAATTTAATTTTTTAATATCTATTATTATATAGAAAGCGTCTGCCCCAGGAATTTCCGGTGACCAAAACTTCTGCTTTCTTATTATTTAAAATATGTCTCGAAGAAGCCCTTATACCTTATACATATACCCTACTACTCGCGGATGAAGAAGCTTTTGTAGCGGAAGAAAGGACGATGCGAGCTACATGTTTCGCAAACTTTAAGAGAGGTATGAAGACTTGGGCCTCACCATAAACCAGGGTGGCCAACTTCTCAAACCCATATTACCGTACAAGCCATTTGAAAATACCGTATTTGAATCTCCATTACCGTACCAGAGATTCATTCATGAGGCCACGGTCTGGGGACCAAAAAAAAAGGTCTCCATATTTTGGTGGTTTTCCCATGGTATTTACCGTACAAAAATACCAAAATACCGTACAATTGGCGTACGGTAACGTGTTAGAAAAAAATTACCATATGTCTATGGTAATTACCGTACGAATGGCCACCCTGCCATGAACATAAAAAATACTACCCAAATACCTATTGGGTAGTAGAAGAACAAGATTTAGAGTTCGGGTACGATAAGATTTGATAAGAGTGGTTCGTCATTTCAGTACCGTGGAATTACTCTCTCTCGCAACGGAAAAAGTGCCAGCGACATCACTAACAAGATTGGTCATGGAAAGATAGTAATTCGACAACTAAACTCATTACTTCACACAATCACATGAGAAATGATACTATACCAAGACAGATGATGAACGTTGAAGTTTCTAGACACAATAGATACCAAAACAAGAAGCTGAAGCTAAGAGCCAATAGCCAACTAAATCGAGATTAATCACACCGAAAAAAATGGAAGTTGAGAAGCGAGACACGGTAGGATGTGTAGCTGTATATGTGTAGCTGTATGGAACCTAATAATGTTAATATATAAACATTATCTGGTTAATGTCGAGTTCAGCCATTTTTGCCTGGTCATGTTGAATGTATTATTGGATACATTGTGAATAAACTGGCACTTTCTACCACTAATACTTTGTACCCGAAGATCAGTTAACTAACTAATATCAGGACATGAACCAACTGAACATGTTATTCTCGATATTATATTCTCGGTAATATTGATATTAATATAATTTTTAACGTTAACCGTAACATACTGGGTGTCAATTTGAAAACTTCTCACCCTGCAGTTTAAAAAGTGAAAAATCGGAGACCCGTAAATTTTATTTGGAAGGGGGGCACTTTAAAGGAATATTTTTAGCCTCTTTGTTTCAACCCGCTAGGACGGGTAGATATCACCCTTAGAATCTTAAATGGGAAGGGGGGTCAAGTGGCACATCGTTTTAAAGGCCGTTAAATTATCTTTACATTAGTTACTACTTTGTTGCTTTTTGTCCAGAGGTTTTCGAATAATCGCGTTTCAAAATTACAGAACCGATTAAACTTGCCTGCATTGAGATTTTGGTTTTCAGATTGGTGTTTAAACAAAAATGTCATGGGTCTCCTTATAGTACAAATGATTTGAATATTCGGTTACCCCGTTAAAATCGTTGAATAACAGGAAGAAAATCTAGTTTAAACAATTGAATTCGGAATTAATGATTATTTTACTTCGAGAAAAATCACTTTATTTACGGAAGAGAAATTTCTGCAATAAAACCCATGGGATCTACTTACCCAATCTGCAATAAATCCCATGGGACATCTTATAAGTTGTTCAAAATGTTGTTCAAAATGTTTTCAATTGTTGAACGTTCTCTAACATTGATAAGATATTCCTGGCTACATGGATTGGCAGGAGGGGACCAATTGAATGGGCCAAGATCACCGGATTGAACACCCTTAGACTTCTTTCTTTGGGGAGATCTTAAGTCCATTGTTTATAAAACACAATCTGCTGATATTGATCTTAAAAGGCGAATTACAGCAGAATGCCGGTCAGTTCCCGGTGAAGTTTTCCGAAATGTTAGGGAAGAGTTCAAAAACAGACCTTATTGTTTACAGGAAAATTGACAACACTTTAGCAACTTATAAGAGAGTGCGTAAGTAGATGACGTAGGTTTTATTGTCAAAATTTCTCTTCCGCAAATAAATACTCTTTTCTAAACATTTGTATTATAAGGAGACCCAATATAATTGTTTTTGTGTAAACACTAACCTGAAACCAATATCTGAAGGCACGCAAGTTTAATTGTTCCTACAAGTTTCAAACGCGATTATTCGGAAACCTCCGGACAAAAAGCAGCAAATTAATAACTAATGTAAGGATAATAAAACGCCCTTTAAAATAATGTGCCCCTTGACCCCCTTCCCATTTAAGTTTATAAGGGTGATATCTACCCGTCCTAGGGGGTTGAAACAAGGAGGCTAAAAATATTAATTTAAAGTGCCCACTTACAAATACAATTGACGGGACTCCGATTTTTCATATTTTCAACTGCAAGAAATATATTAAGGGTGAGAAGGTTTTAAATTGACACCTGTATACACACACAATACCCAATCTAAATTTTATTATAGTTTCCAAATCCAATAGCAAAAACAATCATTTAAATCAATTGAACGTGCTATATTGTGCTCCTTGTTCGTTTTTAAATAAGTATATCGAATTCTCTATCAATAAAAATAGAAAAAAAATATGTAATTTTATAGGTCACTTACTAAATTGTAAATTATGCCACCAACTTAGAAAAAAAACGGCCACTCAAAAAAAATATATTTTTTGTCAAATTTGCAGAACAAGCATTTACTC